TTTACGAAACAACAATTTTAACATCCAACTAATTTTTTAGCAAATTAGTAATTCAACTATTGGAATACTGTATTTTGGTCATCTATTTATCAATTGAAGTCAATTTAGACATTTAACTATTGGGATACTGCATTTTGCTGATCTAACTATCAATTGAAGCCAATTTCGTCCTTAAACTATTTTGAAACTTCATTTTGGTCATAATACTACGAATCGAAATCAATTTAGTCACTCAACTATTGGGAAACTTCATTTTGGTCATCTAACTATTAATTGAATTCAATTTAGTCATTCAACTATTGAGAAACTTCATTTTGGTCATCGAACTATCAATTGAATTCAATTTAGTCATTAAGCTATTGGGAAACTTCGTTTTGGTCATCCAACTATTAATTATAGTGTGTTTAGTCCTTCGACATTTTGGAAACTTCAATTGGGTCATCTAACTATTGTTCTACATTATATAAGTCCTTCAATGTTTATGAAACATCAATTTGGTCATCTGTCTATTGGTTGGGAACAATTAAGTCTTTCGACTAATCAGAAATATCAATTTGGTCACCTAACTACTTTTCAATAGCAATTTAGTACTTTAACTAATAGGAAACATTGTTTTCGTCAGCCAACTATTCTTGAAAGTCAATTTTGTCCTTCAGCTTTTAGAAAATTTCAATTAGATCATACAACTATGTTTCTGCAGCAATTAAGTCCTTCAACTGTTAGAAAACTTCATTTTTGTCATCCATCTATTATGTAAAGTCAATTTAGTCCTTTAGCGTTTTGGAAACTTCAATTGGGTCATCCAACTACTATTTAAAAGCAATTTAGTCCTTCAGCTTTTAGGAATATTCAATTGGTTCATCTTACTATTATTTAAAACGGGACAGAAATCTGGAGCTCTTCTTCATCAGTTAGACGAACTTGAGATTGGAACATGCGGGATACATCTTCAACTTGAGTAATTCATATTTCCAGAATTCCACAAACAATCAATTGAATGTCAAATTGAAGCACTAATAATGCGAAATATGAATTACTCAAAGAATGAATAAAATACAAACGCCAACTGAGAGGAATTTAATCCCTAGCTACATATGACAAACACCAGCTAGGATGAATTAATCTCCATTTAAGTATGAAAAAAGTTGAGATGTTAACTCGATCACGAGCTGAGATGAAATAATTTCCACTTACGTGGTTCAGCGCCGCCGAGGAAAACGGGACTGTGGTGGTGGTTTCGTGACAGTGGAAGTTCAGAGCAGGGTTCGACGGTTTTCGATGTCGACGAAAATGTTTGGGTACAATAGCGACTTTTGTTCTTCACCAATTTTGGCAACGGCCGGAGGCGAAGATGAGTCCGACGGTGTTGTCTCGCCGTTGTGAAGGGATGAAATTGGAGATGGTAAATGGAGAGATTTGAAGAGTTTCCAATTTGGGAGAAATGATTGAATTCTGAATTCCTCTCATGTTGTTTTCATTTTTATTTTTTTGTCACCTAAGCCCCGTAAAACACCTGTGAAGCCCCTCCTTGTACACCAAGCGCTGTCGATTGAGGAAGCAGATTAATTAGAATATTGGTGGAACTTGAAAAGAATTTACATATCCATTCAGCTGTGAAGCCCCTCCTTGTACACCAAGCGCTGTCGATTGAGGAAGCAGATTAATTAGAATATTGGTGGAACTTGAAAAGAATTTACATATCCATTCAGCTGTGAAGCATTGTGGGAGTAGAGTTAGCACGGCCCAGGTGAAGCATCTAGCTGGAAGCAACAACTTCACCATTTGTTTTCCCATCTTCAGTCCTTTATTCCTTTATTTTTGGCGCCGAGTATTTCAAACTCCTTGAGTTCTTGAGGTTGGAGATGAATGAAGAATTTATTTTTGATGATTGAAGATGGTTTATATGCAGTAATGAAGAAATTGAAAGTTCTCTAAAAACAATTTTACTTTTCTGGAGAACTTTTAATTCAATAATTTACTTTTAATTACTTAAATTCCACATACTTGCTTTTTACTTTTTCTGTAAGTTCACTTACCCAAATACTTGCTTTTTAGTTTTTCTGTAAGTTCACTTACCCAAATCCTCCTTAAGTGTGCTTAATTATCTTATTATCCAATATCAGACAAAATGATAGTTTTCAGCCGTTAGGATTATGTTTTATGGGTCATATTAAGAGTGTGTTTGGTAGGAATTTTTGGGGGAAGAATTAATTTTTGAATAGTGATATGATGGGAAATGTGTGGTTGAAAAAGAAGAAAAAAGTATTAATGTGATGAAAAA